CTCCTTTTAAACTAATTAGATTTGATGAGAAACATGTTAATGTTTCTAAAATCTATATCCTGACTGGGATATAGATTTTCTTGATATCCCAATCGGGATATCGAATTATATCCTGATCGGGATATAATTTCAAACTATATCCCGTTCGGGATATAAAAAAATTTTGCTGCAAAAAATGATATCCCAATCGGGATATATATCCCGATTGGGAGTACATCCCGATCGGGATATGTCTCCACACTGACAGGCATGATATGGAACATAGTACTATCTTTAATTGCTGCTTTTCGGTTTTGTAATAGCCCCTGCTCACATTCGAATCCAATTTATACTAAATATACTACATGATAACTATTTCTAGACTTACCAAATGAATGGTGAATTATCGAAACAGTTCCCATTCACTAGAATGGGAATGACAACAGCACTTCCCTGAACTGAATGCAAATTGTACCACGTCTATTCCTGCCATTATAATATATTGCTACTAAACCGTTCTTCACTCAAATTTTGATAGAAATGGACTCTGCTCAGGATTACAGAATAGATGGACTGTTTCATTCTGATATATTGTCTGGGAGACAACTCATCAACATGAAAAGCATTTATGATCGAAAAATGGCAGCATCCTTCAGAGGAGAACACATCCGAAAGAAAAAAATAAGCTAATACTGGTGATATTTTCTATATCTGATATAAAGCTGTGTTTGAAGAACCTTTTTATACGAGTCTCGTGGTTGTGAAGCTAAAACACGAAGAAACAAAAAAATAAAAGCACAGACTTACTATATAGTATCATGGGGAAAAAAATCATTATTTACCTTAAATAGTAGATGGATACTTTATGGAATATTTTTGATATGCCGCATAGAATTTTTTCAAATCATTTCCTCAAAACTCTGTGTAGTAAATGATATAATAGTTTTCCATCGGTTGACAGATGAATCAATCAAAATACACTGTTACCATCAAAAATGAATACAAAAGACAAAGCAAAATAAAACCGTCCAGCTCAAGTTTTCGAAATAACGTTCAAAGATACGACACAACTAAGAGATTTAGTACAGATGCGTCACCATAAGGATATTATCATTTTTTCAAATTCTAACATATTTGATCAATCAGGACTGCTAAATTTAAAAGAAATTTTCGATTGATTCAAGATTAATTCAAGAGATTCAACGATCTGATCTTTAAATTCTATCAGAGCATATCACCGGAAAAAAAATAAAGTTGGTTTAAAGTTGCTGAAAAGTGGTTTTTCATACTCAGCACACTCGATAACCCAGAAGATTTTCTGTTTTTGGCCCGAGGTACTTCCGAAAGTTTAGGAAAAGTTTTCAAATTAATATTATTTTTCCATGGAAAACTTTTTGCGCCATTTTGTTTCAAAATTTTTCTTAAAGTTTCGGAAGTACTCCGGGTCAAAAATAGAAAATCTTCTGAGTTATCGAGTGTGCTGAATACGAAAAATCACTTTTCAGCAACTCTAAACCAACTTTATTTTTTTTATTCCGGTGATATGAATTATTTGATTCGAATGTTATACTTCTAATTTTGAATTAGCTAGATTCTCACAAATATTTCCTTCTTTTGAATTTTTTGGCTTAAGAAAGTGAAAACTAGCAATCCTGAATCGGTTTCTGACTGAAAATCAGCTTCAGATATACATAGTTTGCTGTATAGCACAGAGGTTTCGAACTCAATTTTTATTTGCTGATACTTTCGACCAGCAGAATGACGATCGTTGTTGGTTCTGTGTGCACTGTCCCGGAACTCACGGTAAGAGTATGTTGACGGCATGAAATTAATGTACCGATGGGAGGGTAGAAAATTACCCAGCATGCCGCACCCATGCCATTATTGCACTATAACCATGCCATCCGAAGAAATCTGCTGCACTGCCAAAAAAAGTCACACGAAATCCGTGGGAAAGTCACACCAAAAATGTTGTGTTTTTGCAGTGTCACATTTTTGCTGTTGCGTTCAACGCTTTTAATGCTGAATGAAACGGCTTTGCCGTGAAATTAGTAGAAAACGTTACTTTAAACGTTTTTACTGTCATCTCTTGCTGTCCCGATTTTCGTGTTGCGCTACACTGTAAAAAAAAGTTACGTAAAATCCGTGGCAAATTCACATTAATGTTGCTTTTTCGGGATGTCACACTTTTACCGTTGGCTTCCACTTTTTTAACGTTGAATAAAATGGCTTTATTGTGGCATCCGGAAAAAAACGTTATTTTCAACGTTTTTGTCGTCAACTTTTGCAGTCACATTTTTTTCTGTCGCGTCACATTTTTCCCGTTTCAAACCACAGATTTCAGCGTCATCACAATGCTAGACAGTGTTTCTAATGATTGATGGTCTCTGCGAAAGCAAAGCGATCTTCCATTTTGTAAAAGTCGTTTCCTACTCTGTTTTTCACTTCGAAAACGAAGAAGACCACTTTACAGACCACTTCACTTTTTCAAATTTATGCTTCGCGTTTTTCTGATTAGGACTAATTTCGCATGATGATCAATCTTATGGACTTAATCCCTTTTACCACACAGAAGTACAACTGTCTGTTTGTCCGACCATCAGACAAACGAGTTGGTTTATGGTAGTTTTAAGCAAATACTGTCGCTTTACTTAATAAACTGCATAACAGCCATTTTTCCTTTGTATCAGATAAAAACACTTAGCCATAAAAAGTCATTAGCCGTGATCAATAATATCAATAACGACGATTTTTACTTTCTTTTTCATCGTTGTTGTTCTGCTTTCCTTATTTTATGAACTACGTTGAAGAAATTAAAGAGAAGTTCATTTTATCGCTTTTGCTCCGAGGAAACTCAAGACTGAACCTAGCTGACGCCAAGATTGCCGAAGAGGTCTAAAGTTTATGTTTTATTACTGTGAATTTTTGCTTTTTTATTCGTTTTCTACAAGCTTCCTTAACAATTATAAACTGTACAGTAAGAGTAAAATAAAAGTTATCTGGTCGCAACGGTCAAACGTTCCCAACATTTTCTTTACGTGGCTTCTTTAGAATACGAAACAACTTTTGCGTTTGCTCCGAGGAAGGTCAAAACTGGATCTAGCTGCCAACTAGTCGCCAACACTGTCTGAAAGAACTAAATGATAGCCATGTAAGTTGTTCTTCCAGTACAGAAAAAAAGTCGTTTGCTCCGTTGAACAGTAATCATTCATTCCGGCTATGCAGTGTCTTGTGATGTTCACCACCTTTCCGTAAAATGTAGCAAAACAAAAATGCAGCAATCAACAGGAAAAACATACGATCACTGTAAATTTGAAAAACGAAACGTCCGTGGTTTTTTCACCTACTTTCCTCTGAACCACATACAAAAGTTCATCGATCATTGAGTAAGGTCCGTGAAATATGTAATCACGGGCTTTTCAACCTGAAAGTTGTCAGTCAAATCTGTAATTTTTCCGTGAAAATATGGATTAAAGTGCGTGAAAAATTACAGATTTGACTGACAACTTCCCAGTTGAAAAGCCTATGATTACACATTTCACGGACCTTACTCAATGATCGACGAACTTTTGTATGTGGTTTAGAGAAAAGTAGGTGAAAAACACGGACATTTCTTTTTTCAAATTTACCGTGGCATGTAACGGGAAAAATATGACATTACCTTCATCCCATTGGTCTATTTTAACTAATGCAAAGTGATGTCACGGAAAATCCGTTTTTAGATGTCATTAGGATGTGACATTGCCACAGAAAAAACATTAACAAAATATATATAAAGTCACAGTTAAAATGTGACATTAGTTTCATGATGCCACGTTTTTACTGTGACTTTTTATGTTTTTGCTGTTACTTTTTTTTGAAATGGTTTCACAGTGCCGTTCGGTGGCATGCTTTATATGTGATAAAAACACAATTTCAAGCAATACATTAAGGTATTTACTTGTTCATGGAATACCTGACAGACATTTTTTCATGATCTGTCCATACTTACACAAATAACTCTTTCGTGTGACCGTAGACTAGGGTCAAGTGATCTTAGCTGAAAACTATTGTCCAACTTTCGCGTTATTCGTTTTTTTAATCATTACTTTTTGAAGCAGGAGGTGAACAGTTCAACAAGAAAACTGTTTAGGGTTCTCACGAAAATTTCTAATGAAGCGGGTGTCGTTTTCTCGATCCTTCATAAAACAGCCACTGGAATAAACAAACAAAATAAGTATATTTTAAATATTTTGAACTAAAACAGAACAATAAAATTTGTTTAGGTGATATTTTTCAATCAAAATATGCGACTACATTTTACTGTTCCAACCTTCAAATCGCTCACCAAAGCTGGTACTTTCTTATTTAGTTGTTCAATGCTTTTATTTTTTCTTGAAATAGAAGTAATAAGCAGAACTCTACAATAATTTGACTTTGCAAAATAGTTCATTTAACTGGCTTTTAGATTTAAATTTTATGTTTCGTTTCTATACAAATTGTCATTTATGGCATCCAACAATGGACGAATGGTTATGGAGTACACGATGTATTCCGAATGATGAGCTTCAACGTATCGATCGTTTTGTATTTCAACGTGATGCTAAATTCGCTCTTGCTGGTCAATTATTGATACGATATGTTTTATTAAAAGCGTATGACAAAAAGTCTAAATGTGTGTTTGATGTTAAGCGTACAGAAAAAGGTCGGCCCTATGTGGAAGAATTAGATGGTAAATTTGATTTTAATTTATCTCACCATGGACAACTGGTAACAATTGGCGCTACTTTTGATGGATCAATTGGTTGTGATACAACGGAATATACTTTACCATCAATACCAAAGCAATCAGTTGAATACTGGACACGTTTATTCAAAAATGAATTTACGAACAATGAGCAAAACTTTATCCTTAATGATCAAAATGAAAGTGTACGGTTTAAAAATTTTCATCGTTTATGGTGTTTAAAAGAAAGTTATGTGAAAATGATTGGACAAGGTATTGGGTTTGAATTACTACGATTAGACTTTAATATCAAATCGTTATTTGATGAAACCGATCAAAATCAAATAATATCTGATACACGTCTGATGATTGATAACAGATTCAATCAGAATGTGAGATTTGATGAACAAATTATTTATTTATCTGATAATCAACAACAAATTGTAACTCTATGTCTTGCACCAACGAATCCCATCGAAAAATTTATTGAATTAGATATGAGCGATGTGATTAAAAGTTCTACACCAATACGAGACAATTTTGATAAACAATTATGGGAAAATCATACGAAAAAAAAAAGCGGCTTATCTTAAGCGGTAAATATGATTAATAGAGAGTGTACAAAACTAAGATACAATTTGTACCGAGTAAAGAAATAGCGTGAATCTGATGTATCAAAGCGAATGCAGGACACAATGCTCTTTTTTCAGCAAAAGTGCGAGATTTTTAGAGGTTTATGGAATTTTTAATGTTTGTTCCCAGTAGAAACCAGCTGTCCTGTAGATCTGTTGTCTAACACACGTTTAGCGCAAGATCTATTTGTTAGAACGGTATTTGTTTGTATAAAGAAAAAAGCCCATGTTTTAAGGAATTCTTTTTAATATTCTAGTCCGATTTCTCGAATAACATTTGCCTTTTACTAATGGGTCTCTATATTACATACGAGAATTGTGTTGTTGTGTTTCACACATTAAAGTGCATCGTCTTGCGTTTCTTGATAAACTTTTAGAATTATTGCCATACATATAGTAATATACAGTCAGAAATGAGCTACAACACTTAACGACATTTTCTTTAAAAGATACGATAGTTTTAAGACATTTTTCACAACGGTATGAAAAATCCAAGTTTTCAATTGCCTACGTGTCTTTTCTTTTCAACATTTAAAAGAATCTTCTACGTAGTGTAGCGTAATTCACTAAAAACACTAATGATCTTTGTTCGGTAGTACAATTACGACCGCTTGATAACTTTATCGATTTGAGCTGAAAATTTTAGTAGATTTCTTTATAAGTATTTCTAATATGTTTTCTTGGGTTCTATCTCGCACTTTTCCTGTTCGAGTTAAATTCCTTCCGGAATTAAAGTTTGAAACTAATATATAATGAAAAGCATACTCTTAAGGATACATTCATTTCTAGGCATAAAACTCTTCTGAGTAAAAACCTGTGTTTTCGATTTTGCTTGTTTATTTGCTTAGTGTGTCAACAGAATTGATGTGGCAACCATCTATCTATTAGAAATACGTTGATCAGCGAAAAATTCGGTATTTGCAGTATTTTTATGAACTTAATCTACACATCTTTTACTTTGGCAATAAACTGGGTAAGAAATGAGCCACAGTATTCAGTGATTTCTGCTTTGTCGTTGTGAAACTTAGTTGCTATTCTGAAATAGACCTTTTAAACCGCTGATATAACATATGTAGCAGGTACAAGCGATTAGTGCTCACGTAGCAGCTTATAGAGGAGTTCGAGATTTGCTGAGTTGTGCACGTTGAAGGAGACAATTTCATGTATAACATGATCAAAATCAGAATTTAAAGTTCATCGCGCTGCTCTTTTAAATGTTATTAAAAAACAACTTCGTTTGCACACAAACGTTTATAAAAGGCTGACACCGTAACTAGCATTTATACACATATTATTAATACAAGTAAATACCTCTACCGAGTGATTGTGTAGTACTATTCTTCGAATACAACTATATGTTTATATCTACCTGTCAGTGCTGTTGATGAGATAATCCTAGCTAAGTATTTAACGTTTTATTCTCTATCTTTTGGAAGTTTCAAAGTACTGGAATTTTGAAGTTTGTCGGTGGAAGTTATTCATTTAGTGGTGTAAGTTCATAGTTTTTAATACTACTTGTTGTAAGTATCCAGAAAACAAATTTGTTTCTTTTTTTCATCTGTCCACTTCATAATATTTTTGAAAAATATACTGTCTTTCACTCTTATTCTTCCATATGAATGTACATTGTTTCATATACTGTGATATTGAACGATAGTTTCGTGAGCGTATTATTTTCTATCTGCGTATTTAATCAAGATCTTTGTATATTTTATGTTTTTTTGTCGCATTTTTTTTGTTATTCACCTAATCGTGATACTATTTTAATATTTTAATTATTAACTTGACATATCCATTTATAGAATTATTTCTAGTTTTTATTTGAGTTATCATTTGATAAATCAAAAATAATTTAAAGGAAGTTTTTATGTTTTGAAATTTCTACTGTGTTTGTTAAAATATGACTGGGACTACTGAAGGTATATTTGTCATAAACTGAATATATCATCTGAACGTTTTTTTGAAAAACCTATTTCAAATTTTTGTATTGTTATTGTTGCAGCTGAAGATACCGTTTTCTATACATCTCTGGTTGTTGTTAAAAGATTGACAAATAAATAATAAATAAATACCAATCATGAGTGAAAACAATCTGTTTTTCAATTGTTAGTTTTTTGTAGCTTACCGTGCATTTTTCATACTCTTCGAATCTCTATTATACTAGAGATATAAAATGGCTCTCTCTACTTCAACGTTACAATTTCTTCGAATACATCGAGGAAAATGCTGAAAAATTAATATACCTTTCTAAGCAATACACCGATATACAGTGCATAAATCTTTAAAAGATCTTCTAATTTGAATTATTCAAGCAATTTCTTCTTTTATTGATATATCTTGTGGTTTTTGAAACAAATAAAAATCATTCACAAAAAAGAGTTTAAACACTTTAAGTTTCAGCGTCGTGTATAAGATAAATATCATGATTAATAAATTAATAAGGAGTAGAGAAGATAGTAAGAAGAAATACTATTGCTCTTTTTCTATATTTCTGAGCACAATCTGCTTAAGACCAGCCTTGTTGAAAGCGGTTAGACATAAAAAGGAAAGTAGTACGTAGTTATAAGAACCCTTTTTATTTGAATATTCTTTCATGTTCCTTCATGCATACATTTGCATCGAAGTAAGTTTTTGTATACTTCAGTTGTCCTCTTTCTAGTCGTATATAGCAAAGCTGTATAGAGTCATAAACATTTATTTTTCTTAAATAATTCAGAAACAACTAAATCTTTCTGCTTATTAAAGTGACATTAAGACATTATCTTTAACTTTTGGTGTTTCGATATGATGCAATGAGCATTTGTCTTTAAAACAAAAAAGTGGGTTATTCATATTCGATGAAATCAAGAAAAAACTAGTGTGTGAAATAAAAGAAACTGTTTTTTTAGTTGCAAAGTCGACCATATAAGAGTCCCAACGTACTATGCGTATAAGTTTACGTTGAAGTTTTGTAACAATTCCGTGAATAGGTTTCTGTAACGAATTGACATAGTCTATCTTTTTTAAAAAAATCATAAAAAAAAAGAAAAAAGTTATAGAGTTCAGAATGCTGAGAAGTTTATTCATTTTGGACTACCACCTTTTAAATTATAAGAAAGATGACATTTAAACATTTTTACTTGCATCGCATGATGCTTTATTTTAATTTATCAAGAAGATTAGTCTGTCATAAGATGTTGAGTTAGATATTAAAATTTGAATGTGGTACAACGGAATGACTATAAACAATGTAAATTATGAAAGTATTCATCTAATTTGGTAAATACAAATCTTAACAAATATTTTATAACCAAAAAGTATTTTATTTTTATATATTTTAAGCAAGAAGGATGAAGTTGTGATTGTGAGCAAATCTGCTGAGCATTAATTAGGATTATTTCATGATCAGAAGTGATTACTTTTGTCACTTTAAAGTGACTTCTCGAGATAAACGGAGTATATAAAGTATATTTAAAAAACAATTGTGAGCAAATCTGCTTAGCGTTAATTAAGATTATTTCATGATCAGAAGTGATCACCTTTGTCACTTTAAAGTGACTTCTCGAGGTAAACGGAGTATATAAAGTATATTTAAAAAACAATAAAGATGTACATTGTTAAAAAGAAGCTAATTTGTTGTCGGAGTATGAAGACACTCTATATGCTAATAAGATGATTGAGTTGTAAATGTCCACAAGATAGGAGACTTATATGCCGATAGGCTTCCAGTTGATAGTTCACACATAATTTCAAATTCACGACCATACGGTGATCTAAAAAGAGACGAATGTACAATCTTTATTCAATATTTGGATGAACATTAAAACATTACTTGTTGGAGTGTTGACTATTCACAGAAAGACATTTATTTGTTTGAGAATGAGCCAGTACGATTTTGTCGTTAGCCTAAAAAAAGCAAATTGATCTCCTTCAACTGTAGAAGAATAACATTGACGTTTATAGAAATTCATCAAAATAGATATTTTCTTACCTTTACTTCAGTACCATCAAACTCTATTCGTAAATGAGAACTTGGATGCATAACAGTCCATACGCTATCTCTATTCTTATCATTTGTGAATATAACATCACATGTTCTTGCAGCTCGTCCGTTAGATTTAATACAACTGAGAAATAACTAAAGGATTTAAAAGTGAACACAACTTAACGGTGAAATACTAATTCGCTGTTTCGTTATTAATAGTTCAAGAGTGATAAACTACAAATGTCTTTCTAACGAACCTGTCCATTTGAATCTGAAATGACAATTTCATCTCCATATTTCACTGGATCCGAACTGACAGACATGTTTGGTCTACAAAAGTACATAATAAATCAGTATATGTATATTTAATAGTCTTATTCATCTTACTTTTGTATAATTAATGCCGTACGCTGAGTAGGTCTCATCATCGTTGTTCCACTAGCAGTCATTTGAATAGCCTGTTTATTATCATACGATGAAGCGGGATATGATATCCCCGTTGACAAGAGACAGCTGGCCTCTTTCTGATCACCTGTAAAATTTTCCGAGTCTATCCATTTATTAACTAGTATTACTTGATGTCCAAATCGGAGCAAACTGTCACCAGCTGGAACACTTAAACTTACACCCTGAGACATTTTTTCTACTTCAGACATTTTTTGTGATGCCAATTGACCGGTGTATCGCTTTTCTAGAAAATCTTTTAGTACTTCCTAGACTCAAAAGATAATCTGATTGTTAAAATGCATTAGTTTACATGATAAAAATGTTACCTCTTCCATGACCCGATCTTCGTACCAATTTCCAATTAAAACATGTGCATTAAACGGTCTCACATTTGCCCGGCTACCCATCATTTTGAAAAAAAACAGTGCTCCCGATTTAACTTTCTTGTAGAATTTAATGATGGTTGTACACAAGTTTTTGTGATAAACGCCATTACTAAAGGAAAGTTTTATACGTTGTCATGGTACCAGTATGCATAATATATTAAACTTTTTGTAAATTTATGACATCTATTCAAAAATTTTATTAATCGTTATTTGTGTCAAAGATGAATAGAAAGAGTTTTATTTGTGATTTTAACATAATATAATTTACTAATCTACAAATAAAGATTAGTTCGAGTCGAGTTTTAAAATTAGAGCAATATATCTATTTTCAAGACGTTAAAAAGGTATTCAACAACGTCAAGTTGTATTATTGTTTGTATTTGAGTGCGAGTGCCGCTGCTCCTAGAGTAAAACAATCATTGAGACGTATTAAACTATAATTATATTTCGATGACACAAGTAAATTTAGATAAAATTCAAATGAATGTCGAAATGTCACATTGGAACAATACACATGACCACCAATAATTATTGTTGAATGTTCTAATTGAAGTTTATGAATAATACAAAAGACAACAGCTGATAACAGTTTCGCTATTCGCTGTATTACTATACGGCAAACAAATTGGACAATAATACAATCATCTTGTGATACCCAAACGCCTAAATTTTTTAGTATTTGTTTCGTTAACTGCTTTTCTTTTGTTAAATCAGATGCTATTATTGAAAAATACGTATTGTAGAACGTATTTGGTAACGATAATAATAATATGTTCTTTCCATATGATTGACTATGATCAGCTCGGGTTGGAAATAATATTTTTCGATTTTTTAAATCATTCAAAATGTACCTTACACTTTCACCAACATGAGAAAAATTCAATAATTTATCTAGAGTTTGACTCACTTGACTGGTCACATTCCAATGAAGCTAAAATCAATTTTTAAGACTCAACTATTTCAGACATTAAATTAATATTCATCTGCCTACTTGAAAATCATATTTTGTCCATAATGATTCTAAATTATTATCCGGTGTAGAACAATCATAGGTATGTAATAGAATTTGTATAATGCTAAGATTTTTTTTTGAATCTGTCGTTGATTGTTCTGGAGAAGACATGGACGCTTTTTTCGTTTTCGTTTTGATCATTTGAGTAATTATTTTTGTTTGTTTTTTAATTACATAACTGATGTATGTGTTTTCTCCAACAAGAATGCTTAAATTTGGCATCACTTCATTCTTGTACGAAAATGTCATTAATAAAGCAGTACACTCCGATACGGCACCTACAATCTACTTTTTTAAGATAGACATGATTATTGATAAATAATAGTTCACATAAGTGTACCTCAATATTTAAATTATGTTCAATTAATTCCTTTTGTAATAATTCTATAATATTTTTTCCTAGAAGAGTTTTACTATTATGATTATAAAACCAATTTTCAATGATAGCTGCTTGAAACTTTGTTTGATCAAACGAATAACCTAGTACAAAAATAAGTGGTATTCTGACAATTGACAAATCTAATTTTAATTCAATTGTTTTTTGTAATAATAATTGAATTTGCATAGCCAAAAATAATATTAATGAACTACCATCATTTTTTCGATTTGTTTCAGGAATGATAAAATCATGACCGAGAATCATTGCTGATTTTCTATTACCATAAAATTGAAACAGTGTTAAACGATCATGATCACCACCGAACTCCAATGTGATGCTATAACCTTTTTCATGTCCCGTTGGAAAATAATCAATAGGCAATGTGACTAAATGTTCATTTTTTCGTTGTGATGCTGATTGATCCTCAATATCATATTTTTGATTGTACGTTATTTCACTGAATCTAAACAAATGTAACAATTTAGATTATTTGTGAAGACCTTGGATTCTTTACATTTTCATAAAATCGTATAGTTCTTCAACAAGTAAATTAAATCGTTCACAAATACTAAATATTTCATCCATTTGTTCGTATAAAATTGATTCGGATTTGTCTGCTCGATCTTTTAACATGGCATGTGGATCTTCTCGTAATAATTGATAAGCATTCATACAAGTAGTGCCTCGAATAATTGGAAAAGATTGGATTTTAGGGTTGTGTTTACTTGTTCCATTCCCCATTTACTTGTTTTTTAAATCTAAAAACAGAAAACTAAATTATCTAGCGCCAAACTTTAGCGTTTGTTAATGTGAGAAATATTTGAACGTTTAGTTCAGTATATTAACCTCTCTCCCTCCCTCTCTTCCTCCCCCCCTCTCTCTCTCTCTCTCTATATATATATATATATATATATATATTGTATATATATAGTTCAAAAAAGGTCGACGTATTTGACGTTTTTAATGAGCAGAAGTATGTATAAATTAATTTCTCTTTTATATACCTTTTTTCTCTGAATAACAGTAGATTTCGTGACTAAAAAATAATTACAATTATAATCATTATAATCCTTAACATGTGTTTTCTCATTAATTATTCCATTCTTTATATAACTATATTTTCACTTTTCGACAATGGTCACCGACCTTTACATTGTGCACAAACATAACATAATCATTTGTTATACATAAATCATCTGTCAATGTCACACTAGAACGGATGTTAAAAAACATATTTCCGAATAATTCAAAAGAATCCAATAGAAACTTTATTACAATAAACAAAAAAACATCTGTATTTCTTGTACCAATTTCCGATATTCATCAAAAAATAGTTGTAAAACTTCTTCAAAGAATTTTAAATATACTCAATCATTATCATTGAAACAAAGAAAATAAATTATTTTAGTCTGATATTAAGGTTATTATTCACTATATCAGTTCACTTTTTTGTATTATACAATGAATTTATTCCACCAGTTTACAGTTATTACTTGTTTTTTCCTATAGAGATATTTCCAATATTTTTCTTTTTTCACAAATTCTATTGGCTTTTCAAAATTGAACAGTTAGTTTTGATTTTTTTTTCTTCTTTCTCTTTAGTTTTGTTTCATCTCAATTATTTATTTCCTGATATATTAAAATAAAAATAATTTTCGTAAATTGTAATCTCCCATCGATTATTAAAGACTATTTTTCTGATCATTTACTAACTGTCGATTTTTCTTATTTTAAAATAAACAGTCTTATTTTAGTACTCTTTAAAAGCACTTTTCTTTTGGAAATCACAATATTTACATAATTGATCATATTTGTTTTTGTTTCAAAAGAAAGAAGAGGAGGATAATATTTGTTATTTATCTTTGTCTATATGTATATCTTTCTCTCTTTCTTACATTTTATCACTCTTGAAATATTCTTTGAAAATATTTATTTTATCATCAACCTCCAGGCTATTTAGTCATTATCACTTGAAAATAGTGTATGAGAATATTTAGAAGAGAGTATTTATTTATTAAATAATCGACATCGTCCTAGAACTTTACTTATATTAGAAAAATAGAGAAGAGAAGATTTTCCACTAGTTATAAAGAAAAGAAAATTGTTGCTATTCAATATTATTAGTAATAAAATTAAAAATCACATAGACTGATATAAAAATTTTTTTAAGATTCGAACCGAAAAAGTAACTAGAAGATCTTTTCTATTCTTTAATTACTCTAATAGATCGAATTGAAAAAAAATATATTTTATGCCTATAGCAATTTCTTACTTATAAGAAATTACATAGTCTAAATTGAACTGTTAGATATGACATATAGTCACTTTTTACAAATATATCTAGAACTCTCTATTTTTTTTTTTTGTTCTTTGTATTGCTTCTTTTGTTTAGATTAATAGAATTTTTATTTTTTCAATAGGAAACAGAGAGCATAGAAATATTGTTCTTCTACTCTTTTGAATAGTAAAACATAAAATTCTAGTTTCATACGTGTTTGTTTGGAAAACTATTGCATTAGTTAATATTATTCATAATCTGGTACTAGAAGTGAGTAAATATAGTAAAAATATCTGAGCCTATGAACATGACCATGGGAATATATATGAAATGTATTTTTAATACCATTTTTATTTTCTCATTGTATAAAAATAACATCTATCACCCACATCATTATTCTCTTATATTATTTTAACAATCCTTTTTTCACGATAATTGACAGGTCATTTTTGTTCATGATTTATCATGAACAATAATAATTTTATCCCATATGGATTTTTATACTTTTTACAATAGACTAGTTATACGTTTGAATATTTGACTAGATAAGTTTTGAGTTTATGAACATTTTTTTCTTAAAAATTTATCATAAATAAGTTTGTTAAAAAATCATTGTTTATTGTATATCATTTGTTACTTGAGCACGATCCATAAGATTTTTAGATAAAGTTTAAACAAATATTCTATATAATGAAGTGTTGTCTTAATTGTCTGGACCGAAACGATCAATATGAGAAAATTTATATCAGTTTTTGTGCAATGTATATTTAAATTATGTCCCAAGAAGACTATTCGTTCTAATTTTTTTACAACGAAATAAAAATGATTTGAAGATTCTTCTTACTGGACTAACGCAATACTGGGAATCATAATGTTTGGGTCCGTTGATCCGACATCGTGTTTCAAACACCAATGAAGACGATTATTTTGTTTTTCTAGATCCGTCTAAAACAATGCAAACATACATGCTTAGGCTCCTCATTCATGTTATTATCGGTTTGATAAGTACGATAACTATTTTTGGTGCCGCCATCAATCATCAAACATCATACGATCTTGTTCAAGTAAGTGTATTTCAATTTTTAACACACATTAAAAAATGTGATACACGAGATTAATGAAAGACGAGCAAGATCTCGACTTATTCTATATTGAAGTTTGTTGAAGACTTTTCGACACGAGGAAAAACTAATATCACCTTTGGAAAGTACAAATTAAAAGATCTAAGTTTAATAAGCTGCACAATTTCGTATTTCACATTTTTGGACATTAATAAATATTCAATATATATATTTCTTTTATTTTAGGATTTACCATCAAAATCTTCTCTTTATCGTCAACAAGAATCTCATTTGCAAAATGACAATAGCGCACCATTCTCGAAATTGCGTTTAAAACGATCACCGGTGAAAAAATTCTATGAATTTGGTTCTAAACGAGCTTCTTATGATGACGGTGAAGATGGATATAATCTTGATAAACGATTCTATGATTTCGGAGTAAAAAAGCGTTTTTACGATTTTGGAGTAAAACGAGCAAGTTATATTCCCACAAGTGATTATTTTTATGACAAAAACAATGATTATTCAAAAAGATTTTATGAGTTTGGATCTAAACGAACAACCGAATAATAAACACTCTATTAATGGTAGATTATTTTTCTGTTATGGAAAACTATAGTAATCAGTTACAATTATCGAACGAGTAGTTGATGTTCAATCAAAATAAAAATAGTTATTATTATTAAGTTTAACAAGGATATGTTTTTGTTTTTGTGTTGGTTGATTGCACCTATTTTTTAACTAAATATCAACGATAATTGGTTCTCTAGAGTGAATAAAACTGGATATTTATGAATATAACAAATACTAAACCCTTTTTTAAATCAAAGAAGGTAAATGTTCTCAATAGTCACTCACTCTTCATACTAGTATATGCTCTTTCATCTCAAATATGTCTGTCTGCTCAACTTTGAGTCTTAGCTTTACATTTTAAAAGTTGAAGTTGTAATTGAGAAACGTTTGAAGAATTTTACATATTCCCACGTGAGTTGAAAGAGTACATTCGAATCTACAAAAAGAAACATCGCATGCTAAATCGGCATACCTACGTACTTTTATAGTTACTGTATTATTACCAGAGATTAGCACGGGCCAGGCCAAAAGGTATTTTGATCTGATCGGGCCTGGCTGGAGTAAGGATTTTTCTTGGGTAACATAACAGAAGAAGGAGATGAATCTATTTAGTGCGCTTTATAAAGCAAAGAAAGCATCTTCAGTTTTCTCAGAAATGTACATGCAATATATCTTAAAGCATGCGTAGATTTCTAATATATGTGTATACTTAGTACTGAGAAACAGTATTATCAGTGTTACGTGACATCTTAATACCTACGTTTAGCTAATGCCTATAAAAGGTTGAAAAAAATGAAAACCAAGAAGTCATGAAAATATAAATATTAGCTTGAGAAATACATTTACACCACTTAGCCAGCGAAAGCACTACAGATGCAAGAAATATGTTAATAAATAGATTAGTTCTATCTGTCATAAATCTTTGCAAATTTGGAGAAAGCCGTGTATATAGTAACAAAATGTCTAAGTAGAGTGTTTTTTGGAGCATGTTTAACAAGAAAGATTTTTGCTAATTTCAGTATAGATTAGAAAGTTTCTTGAATTTTCGGTTAGGAGTTTGACCAATAGTCACCCGATTCATCTCTTTATTAAGAGAAATATGATTCATCTTTTCAGTACAACTTAAACGTCATACTTGTGATCGCTACTCTTTACATAGAGAATAGGTCTGACTTTCAAAATTCAAGAAATATTTTTCCAGACCGCAGTTAGGGATCCCAGTGAATGTTCATTAATTGGTTGAAGATGGTTTGCTTCTTATTATGACTTTTATTTGTATAAAAAAGAATGTTCGAGACACAGTGGGTAAACAATGCAATAACAGTATCTTTTCACTCTGACCCAGTATGTCGCAGTACTTTCGAAAAGGCGAATTACACTCTGAAAAAAATTGCAACTTCGGTCATGTGTCTACTCTCTAAAAAAGAAAAGCACCAAAAAAGGGTATTTCCATGACGGGATACCTGTTTTGAAATCTCTGAGTAACAAATACAGATATCCTGTTATTTTTGGTTTTGTGGAAGTAGAAATACCCCTAACCGTACTTTACAATGCCATTTTGGTATTTCAGTGTATCCTTTTTAGTTTTGTAAGATTTCTTTGAGAGTATTCCTCATTCCACAGAACCAAAAACAGAGGATATCTGGATTTGTTACTCAGCGATTTCAAAAAAGGGTATCCCTTCATGGAAATACCCATTTTTGGTTCTATACGATACGGAAATTTTTTAGGAAATGCCTGGGAAAAGTGTCTTTTATGCATCTTCAAAATAGTAAACATCTCTCGTATGTCTTGAATGTGGTCTGCGGGTAGACAAATGGAAGTCACATTGGAGTCACACGAAGACGTTTGAACAAGAAAGGCGATTACTAGTCACATCTTTATGAAACGTGTGACTGAAGTTTTTATTAAAGAAGTTATATTCAATTTTCTTTTCAGATTTAGAACTCTATCTTCACGTTTAAGGTTATAGCTTACGTAAAGATTAAGAACACTTGCTCGTTTGATAAGCGAATAGTAGATCGAATTCAACTCTCGACAAGAACAGAAAGTTTTTTCAATGCGTCTTTTACAGAAACAAATCAAAGTGACTTCACAAAGTTACTACGACTAAATTGGATCTGAGTTATGTGTCTTTAATGTCACTACAGCAAAGACCTTATAAAGTGATACCTGATTAATGCCTCAGTTACATATTCTGTGTATGATGAGCTCGTGAAAGAATTCTGCATCAGGTGAGCTACAGCTGCAGTTGAAGACTAGTGAAGATACGGATGACCATAGCAGAAGCTTATCAACTATATGGAAGATATCAGGTTACAGCACCACCGGTAACATTAATCGCAAGACAAGTTATTCTTCCTTCTTTCTCTATGTTGCACTCACCATAAAAGTGATATTTTCTTTTTTTTTACAGGAAACAGTAGTAAAGCCGATATTAAGACGTAGAATTCAAACAAATCTTTATGCTCATTACATGATTCAGAATTGGATGACAATTGCTACGGTCAAATACAAATTAACATCAATTTTAATGTAGTCAAATGACATTGTGGCATGCAATAAAATCATAATCGAAATTGCAATAATAGTATTATATCATAGTAAATGAATCAGGAAAATCGATTCTTAATCAATCAATTCAGTTTTCAAAGCTGATATTTACGAGATATGTTGTATGTGTCAAAAGAAGCATGCAATTTAAATTTGACATTGTTAACTTATATGATTGCAAAGATATTTGCGTCTGTTAAACGAACTCTACCATAAATTTTTCATGAATATACTCCCCAGAGGTGAAAATTTAATAATCATATACACGCACGCTGTCGATTTATTAATAATTATTCAGTTAAGGCATAAAATAAGCTAAATCTCATAGATTTCAGTTTATATGATCTAAGATTCATTATTATCCATCCAAGGTTTAATGTTCGCGTAACGTTTAGATTTTTTCAGAAGTCAAGAGACAAAACAAAACAAAACATTTAAAATAACAGAAAGCCTCTGGATGTTGATATCCACGTTGGTATTTTTGAGATATAAAGGCATAAAAGTAGATGAACTAGGAGAGATAGGGGATGGACAGTTTGTCCTTTTTTCTGCTCTGCTCACTCTCCGTCGCTCGCTTGCTTTTTGTGTCTATGAGCATACCCAAGCAGTGTACATATGTAGCACAACCATTCCTTGACACGAGTGATAGTCTTTTTGTTGCACTTTAATGCTACCCTGAGTCTTTATTCTCTTCATCAAAATTGTTTAAAAGTATAGCTATAAAAACTACAGGCAACTGTTTATTTATGCAATGCGAAAAACAAAGTGTCCTTTGGTGAGGTTTAGAGCACATGAAAGTGCCCTGTTTTTTGTTTTCACGGTGACTGTGGCGCACTTAGGGCACTTTCATGTGTCCTAAACCTCGCCAAAGGACACTTTTTTTTTTCTGTGTACGACTGCGTTTCGAATTTTTTATTAAGTCGTCGTTTAAAAAGAAAAAGTTATCAGCAGAATGTTTCGCCCAAGATATAAATCTCGTCAGCGGGGGTAGCAACCTTCATGTGTTTTTGTTATTCTCATTTTAAATGAGATATGCAAAAGAAGTCAATGTCCGTTATGTACAAGATACTTCATATTTTCTTAACGTAGTGTGCAGGCTATTACTCAATTTAACGAATAAAACTCGAATTTTTTGCAGTTTGTATCTGTTTTTTTCACTGTTTCAAAAAATAAGTAATATACAAAGTAAGTACACAGCAATTTCAACGAACGAAAGAGCATGGAAACAAATCCTTTTCACTTTTGTTGTCACAAAGTTGAAATCGTTTTGTTTAACTATTTTGAATACCAAAACGGGGTGCTCTTTTTCACAAAATGTGTGAAATCTAGGGACTTCTACTATGTACAACTTCGTTAAATATCACAAGGTCTTAAAATAAAAATGCACTAAAGTGAGAAAAGCATCAAACGTTGATGCCATCGCAATCGTGAGTATCCTCGGTGTAAGATCGTTTTGTCGTTGGTGACTTTCAGGATGTAGCGTTCTGTTCGGTCCTGTTTGACACACAGAGGAGGCTAAGCCATTCCGCCTCATTCACAGGATGCTAGATTGGCTCTAGCAACGAACGGATATTAGCGTCTAGTAATCAGGGACACGCATTCTCTGAAAGTCCAAGCGTGAATGTTTTCTTCACATACGTTACCTTATTGCCACGTTTAGGGACATGGCAAACGTTACCTTATTGGTAAGGCTCACGTTAGAATCATAAGATATTAGCCTTTCTCACCTTTATTTTGATACTAGATTTTAAATTATAGGCAGAAAACTTCGTCCGAGATGAAAATTTCTTTCACTAAAGTTATCACAGCTCACTATTCACTTTTTAGAAATAGAGTAAAGAAGATAGTTTACCATCGCGACAGAAATACGCCGCAAGGATTTAAACGAGGGACTAGACCTTCAAAATTGCTGTGTATTCACTTTGAATCCGTATAAGTTCTTCAGTAAGAATGTCTTTTACCATTTTAGATAGAAATTGTGGAGTACTGAAGGCAAAGTAGGATCGATGTAAACTTCAAAAAGTGATCGTATCATGTTCTCGAAGAAAAGTCCGAGTAAAACATGATGCAACGATAGCCAGAGAGGTAATAATATGAGAAACTCATTTTAATTTTTTTATGAAAGAAAAACATACTTGATAACGTTTGATCCAATTATAACAATAAAAGGATTCACAATGCGTGATACTTTAATAGTTTTGCTCTTAGGCAACGGAAAATGGGATTAATTCGCATAATGGTCGTTTAAAACTTCGCTGTTTTCCCAAATTTATCGTGCGTTCAGTTAAGAATAGGACCAGTTGACAGTCATTACAATACACAGCCTGTGTACCGGCTGAATGAACGATAAATTTGGGAAAAACAGCAAAGTTTTAATCGAACATTATACGAAGTAATCCCATTTTCCGTTGCCTAAGAGCAAAATTACTGAACTAAAGGGAAGCATAACATAAAAGTACGCATTACGAATCCTTTTGTTGTTATAACTGGATCAAACGCCAATAGCGAATGAGCCGCGATCGCGGCAGTCGAGAGAGAATATTCTCTACCGCCTTCAGTAAAAAGTCGCGCTTTTTGAATCAAAAAAGTTACTAGTCGCTTCGCGACATCGCGAGTACCAGAGATGGGCGGGTCACCACTTTTTCGAGTCTGAGTAGAGTCCGAGTCAGTAGCCTTCGAGTCGAAGTCCGAGTCACATCAAAAAGAGACTCGAGTCGCTTCGAGTCATAAAACTTCCTAATTTTCCCAAGAACAGTTCTTCAATCCTCTCATGTGCCACAATGTTCTACTTAGAATATTCTGAAATCTCTCCCTCTTCTGGTATATAACAAACATAATAAACGTCGTCATAGCAATCCCAATTTGCACATGACTGACTCGAAGTGACTAGAGTCAGTTTATCAAGTTCATTAAGTCTTTCACCTCGAGTCCGAGTCATAGGAAAATGTGACTCGGACTCGCCGGTCTCTGGCGAAAACAAAGTGTCGCGCCCACTACAAGGAGAAAATGAAGGAGTCGCGTCGCGAATGTAGCGACTATATAGAAAAAATCCAATTCCATCGCGACTTTATAGCGATCGCGAAACTGGCAAGAAATTTCGCGAGTCTATAAGCGATGGCGTTACGCGTTCGCGCCGCGACTTTTTATCGCGACTCGCGCCGCGCCTTTTCGCGATAGTCGACATGGGATGGATATAACGCAGTACATATGATAGTTCATTTGATATTATTATGTCGTTGAAAATTATTAGTGACAAAGTATATCATGTACCGACAGTTTCAGCATTATAACCTTCATTCATAGGGAAATCAAATAATACAAAAAATATCAACTTGAAGGCTAAATTTTACGCATGATTTGCCAAGCGATAGAAAGATTTACGTTGGATGATGGGTACAAAAACTTTCACGACAATTATAAACGATAGCATAAAGATAGTGTATCAAAAACATTTGTTTTTTTCCATTTTATTCAACTGAAATTTGAAATAAATTAAAGTATGTCTAGATCTTAAGATAAACAATCAAAACACTGTAATTTATTTCTCTTTTATTCTCTTAGAATGTCTCAATTCGATCCAGTTGTGCAGCAGTTACGTTCTGATGAAGTTCAAGAAATCACACAGGCGTTTATGGAATTCGATATTAATCACAATGGCTACATTACCCCGCAAGAAATGAAAGAATGTTTACGACGTGCTGGAGTACAGTTTCAAGATGCTGAAGTTGATCGAGTGGTTGGAAATATGGACTTAAATCATGACGGATCAGTAACATACGATGAATACATGAAATTTATGGCACGAGTGTACACCGGTCAACATGACGCATTTCAACGAGGACCACCAACACCAGGTGGACCATCCGGTGGACAACAAGGAGGTTATCGAGGACCCTCATCACAACAACCACCATTCAATCAGCAAGGCCAAGGTGGTAATTATCCAAACCAACCACCCTATAACCAACAAGGTGGCTCCGGTAATTATGGGGGACAACAACCGCCCTATAATCAAGGTAGCAACTACCCACCATCATCGGGTTCAAATTATCCTCCCAGTGGACAGAACTATCCACCATATGGAGGTCAACAGCAAGGGGGTTATAACCAACAAGGTGGTGGTAACCCACCTTATAATCAACAACAAGGAGGAAATTATCCCCCAAATTCAAATCCTCCATACAACCAACAACAAGGCCAAAATCCTCCATATAACCAAACGTATGGTTCTAGCGGTCGCTAAACAAAAACTCTCGTACGAACGTTCGCAATACTTGATTTTCGTCTTTCTTGTACCCATCATCGCATTTTGTAAGCTTTCACAGTTCCTATCATCATAAATTTACAAAAAGAAGATTGTGGATAATAACGGTTTATGTTTAGCGGCTATCTATCGTTCATCTGAAAACCCTTTACTGCCTATATTCATTTGTTTTATCTCCAATTTCCTTGCTTGCTGTTTCTCGGCCGTTTAATGTGTAGTCGTTTATATACGGCGTTTTCGCTAAAAAACACTTAAATTTCATAGATAGTGCGACAAATTATAACACATATTCCTATTATTATTATCCAGTATTTAAGTAGGAAAAATATATTTCTCAGGCAAGACCAGGTGGCGAGAAAACGTTGATTTCTTGCAAGCCGACAGATGAGAAGTATTAATCTTAATACGAAATACACAGAGCAAGAATCTAAAGTATCGATTGGTAAAGATCTAACCAGGGAACCTCCCCAAGTGTCCAATCGCTTTTTCATTAAACATACACAGTTGTAGGTAATTTTTGATGCTGATCACGAATCTGATATCCGTTTCTGCTGCTAGGCCCTTCTAAGGTGGATCTCTGAAAGACCCGCTATGAACTTCCAGCTGAACATATTTTTTCATTGGCAGATTGTAAAGCACGTTGAATTACCTATGTGAAAAAATGTCTAGAATCAACGAACAAATTTTCGCAGAGATAGAAAGATTTTAGGGTTCAAAAACGTGAAATATTTTGATTTCCTACTGCATTAGAAAGTAAAATTTTTCTATCTCTGTGAAAACTTGTTCGTTGATTCTGGATATTTTTCCACATAGGTAATTCAACGTGCTCTACAATCTAGCAGTGCCAAAATATGTTCAGCTGGAAATTTACACCGAGTCTTCGAACATCCGGGTTTCAGAGATAACACGAAAGGAAGAGCAATGGTAATAAATAAATCATTGGATGTAATATTGTTATCAACTGTAACCTCATCTGGTTCTTGTCATTAGAAACATGTTCAGCTGCAGAGTTCGCGATCAGGAGATGCTAGCCTCTTCCAAAAACGTTTTTATGACTTTCTTGAAATCTTTGACGTTTTTCCACCAGCAACTTTCTGCCAAAGCTTTCGAAAATTTTTTTCGCCAGCTCCTTTCTATGAAGCAAAATTTTTTAGCCTTTCCCATCCCTAAGAACAATCGGAAAACAGAGTACTTTTTCTAAAGCAAACACAGTAACAGAGACAGAGCGAAGATCATTTGTAGTTAAGTCAGCTTAGATCAACACTCCCCAATGAAGACGGTCGTAATACACACTGCGAAAAACAAAATGCCCTTTGATGAGGTTTAGGGTACATGAAAGTGCCCTGTTTGTCGTTTTCACGGTGACTGTGGCGCACTTACGAGGGAACCGTCCGAGGTGATACCCTCCGTTTCTAATGAGTTATACCTCAATCGATAGAGTATATCGAGCTAATAAAAAGCCTAAAAGGATTCAGGCCCATACTCCTGAAGACCCGGTTTTCTGGAAAACCAGTTTTTCAGAAACTCTAAAAAATAATCAAAACCTTTTCTTAGTAAGAGATGATTGTAGCCTGCACATTTCTGATTAAAATGAGACATCTCCCAGCTCTACACGACCTTTCTTTGCAAAGTTATAGAATTTACAAGAAAAGCCCTAAATTAATTTCTTCTTATTTCTGTACCTTTGAGCTGACAATGAACATTTAGGGCTTTTCTTGTAATTCTATAACTTTGCAAAGAAAGGTCGTGTAGAGCTGGGAGATGTCTCATTTTAATCAGAAATGTGCAGGCTACAATCATCTCTTACTAAGAAAAGCTTTTGATTATTTTTTAGAGTCTCTGAAAAACTGGTTTTCCAGAAAACCGGGTCTTCAGGAGTATTGGGCCCGAATCCTTTTAGGATTTTTATTAGCTCGATGTACTCTATCGATTGAGGTATAACTCATTAGAAACGGAAGGTATCACCTCGGACGGTTCCCTCGTTAGGGCACTTTCATGTACCTTAAACCTCACCAAAGAGCACTTTTATTTCGCAGTGCGGCTTATTTTTTATAAGAACAATATCATTAGGTTTAGAATTCTCAAAAAAGACAGTCTATTCAATTCGTTACAGAAACCTATTCACGGAATTGTTACAAAACTTCAACATAAACTTATACGCATAGTACGTTAGGACTCTTATACGGTCGACTTTACAACTAAAAAAACAGTTTCTTTTATTTCACACACTAGTTTTTTCTTGATTTCATCGAATATGAATAACCCACTTTTTTGTTTTAAAGACAAATGCTCATTGCATCATATCGAAACACCAAAAGTTAAAGATAATGTCTTAATGTCACTTTAATAAGCAGAAAGATTTAGTTGTTTCTGAATTATTTAAGAAAAATAAATGTTTATGACTCTACATATAGATTAACAGATATTCATTAAGCTTAAATCCAACTACAGCAAAATACGTATAAATTTCATCTAGCTGCAACTCGATGAAACTTAGCTTCGATTAGGTTCAGCTAGTTGGATCATGCAATAAAGTACCCCATTAATAGGAGATACAAGCACCATTTCAACTAGCGCATGATTTCAACCAGCTTGCAACTAGATAAATGTACCTGTTAGTCTAGCTCTAGATTTTTGTAGCTAGATTTTCTCGCATATTCACTTTTGCTTGGATATTCAATTGGATGTTTCAATTGCGATATACTAGAAATATGTCCCGATTGGGATGCATACTTCCGATATTTTGGTGTTACACATTTGTTTTTAAAAGTATATAGCAACCGAAGAACAGAATCCGACGCGATTTTTCATCTTCAGTCTGATATGTCAGTCAGTTGTCTGTAATAACGTTTTGATTCGGGAATTACTGAGGAAAAAAATACCGTAAAGATATTTTGCGTATTTAGGATATTAGTCATTAGAGTTTTATTTACCTGTAAGAGACTTTAATAATGAAAAAAATTATTGATTCGTTCCTAACATTCTCATTTGATCGTGTCACCAACCTTAATGTCTTCAAAATATAGTTCGAGAACTCTCTGAGTGTATGCAATATGTTAAATTTTGTACAACTGATATTACCATGTGAACCAAATATGTCTGAATAGACAAATTCACTGATAATTCGTATAGAAAAACAACACACACACTGTCTATAGACAGTGTTTTGATTAATTCACTATCGGTGGTTAGTAAACCTCTAATATAAATTAAACTATCTTGATGTTCATTTATTAGCAGTAAAAGATAAGAATAAAAGTAAGCAAATAGGACCTGAAAAGTAACTCTGAAGTAACTAAGAGCTACCTGATAATTATTAGTCACTTTGTAGCTCAAAAATCGATAGTTACCATTGCTTGAGAGATCCTAACTGTAACCTGGAATCCCTACTTGCGTCTTTTTAACTCAATTTCTCATCGAAGTAACGACATGTAACGCCCACATTTTTCCATCTGCTCCGTTTTCGAGAACTTCAAAAAACGATAAATCTCACTGCACTATTATCATTCCAACCTTGATAAATTTAATGCACGGAAACAAAACGGTAACCACTGACACTAACGCTCAGTCATAAGCGGCGAACACTACAAGGCTTAGCAGACTCGAGTCTATCATAAAAAGACGGCTTTGAAATAGGTCTGAGTCCATCATGACGTAAGGTCGCTCGGTTGTCGATGGTATCAGTGATAGATAAGCCTAAGAGACATATTTAATCGAACGAAATAGGCAATGGGAAAATGTTTATACCTTATCACTTTGTTCCACATTACTCTACTGATTAAAAAATAATTAAAAAAAATATTCTTACAAAAAGTATTTTATTCGAAATTTTGCTGTACCATAGATGTGTATTTAAATGCTCGCGAAAATATTATAGAGTTTTCCCATTTTATCAACTTGAAACTAAAGATTCCCAATTTATTCGTGAAAAATTTTAAGTTCAATCACTGATCAAGAACAATCAACATTGAACTCTTAAAAGCATTCTCATAAAACCAAATAACGAGAAAATTGTAAATAGTCAGACACTTCTTTTATTTGCTTGTTTTTCCTTTGTACACACTACTGGAGACTCAAAAATGGTCGTGTTTAATCACTTCATTAAAATGTCTGGTTGTATAAGTGGCCTTGGTTTGATATAATTCTGTTCTTAATGGGTCATAAATTGTACAGTCAAATAATAAATGACGGCGTGTTTCTACCTGAACGTTACAGCGTTTGCAAAATGGACTGCCTTTCTTTTCAGAAATGCCGCTGCATTTAGTGGCAGATCATTGAGTAGAAAGTTAAATAAAAGCGACTGTCTTTTTCTACTACTAATTATTTCTTTAAAACGCATGCTTTCAATATCTGAATTCATCCCAGGCGAAAAAAAGAACGATCATTAAAAGAGACGCTTGAACATGATTTTTGTCAAAACTTTAGAATAACGCGTTTTCTAACGACGTTAAAATGACCGTTGAAACACGCTTATTTTATATAAAAACGCATTTTAACATGTCGCTTCTAAACGCGTTTACAAAAAGAAAACATTCGAAGTTATATCATTTTAACGCCGTTAGAGAACGCGTTCAGTAAAAACACCAGAAAACAGTTAATTTAACGATTAACGTTAACAAATGCATTGGCGTTTGTTGTCATGTCAAGACGCGTTAAATAACGTTTTCATCATCGTTCACATTCATCAAAAAACGCGTTGTGAAATTAGGAGAGAAAACCATCTTGTTAGGCGGTTCTAGTAAAAAATTTTCGAAAAAATATGGATGAAAAAAATAGGATGAATCGCTCCCTTTCTAAAATAACTCCGATCTAGGTGGATATCTTTTTTTCTAACCTCTGTGAACCGCAGTTTTATACAAAAACCAACCGGTTTCATCTGCAGGTAAATCGAAACGGGCGATTCTAGCCAATTTAGCACACATGTAGACCTCTGCGGTTTTCACCAAAATATAACCGCCGTGAACCGCTACTATACCCCA